GATGATGATGATGATGATGATGTTGATGATTTTATGTTGAGTTCGTGTCTCTGGGAAAAATGACACAAAAAACATTCAGCTCAAAGATGGGATACAACGGTAGGAGAACATCAAAAAAAAACTTTACTATGCCTCCCCAATCTCCATCCTTCCTTTGCCCCCCCCCCCCAAACCACCCCATCAACCTCTACCCCCCCCCCCCCAAAAAAACCCCCCCAAAAAACAAACATCAAAAACAAACAAAAACGACCAACCACAAAAAAACAACAAATAAATAAAATGAAATAATATAGATACAATTTAACGGAAAACAACAACAAAAAACAACAACGAAAAAACGCAAGCAAAGCCAAAAAGACCCAAATAACAACAACAAAAATATTCGTCATCCAAAAGCACAAATAGATAAAGGCCACTAAGGAAGAACTGAATTCCTAAAGGCCGTCGAAAAATCGAAAGTGATAATTCCACGGCACATAAATTCAGCCAATCAGAACATCCTGACTATTTATAATCAAGCCTATAATCTCTTTTCCATTAGGAACGCATTATTATACAATTTAAGATACCTGTGTGTTTAGTTAACAATGTTTATCCTTTGCTATCATTTTGTGCATGATGGACAATGATGAAATTATGTTTTGTGTGATTGTAACGAGAGTGAGAGATGCACAATTTATTTTGTGCAAGCAAATGGAGAGAAGACTGGGTTTGTTTTTTTCAATAGTAGGGTGCCCATTTGCGGATGGGATCGGGTCGGGTCGGGTAGGGATGATCACCCGACTCGTCGCCTGAAAACAAACACAATTCTTGCATTGATACACTTCAAGCAGAGCCTATACCGTCGAAATATCAATTCCGATCTTTAGACTCAAGACGGCATACCGTATAGGTATCACTTCCGATGTTCAGACAGCATGCCGTGGAAATATCAACTACTATTTTCAGACGGCATGCCGTCGAAATATCGCTACCCATTCATAAAGGCTGAGTCCGCTCAGTAGAATGGAGAGACAGATTGGATTCCCATACAAAGTTACTCAGTGAGTTGAAAAGACTGACAGACGGACACATGCTTAGACGGATAGACAGACAGACAAATGCTTAGATGGACAGACGGACACATGCTTAGATGGACAGGCAGACAAATGCTCAAATGGACAGACAGACAGACAAACAGACAACAAATGCTCAGATGGACAGACAGACAGACGGACAAATGCTTTGATGGACAGGCAGACGGGCAATTGCTTAGGTGAACAGACAGACGAACAAGAAGATAGACTAACAGACAAAAGATTGGCAGCTAGTTTAATGGATATATGTCTAGTAGGTAGGAACGATATGGGGCGACCAAGTGGAAACGGGGCAAAGGGAAAGGGGGAGGGGGAGAGAAAAATTAATAATATAAGCAATCTGGGAGATAGTGTGGGGGAGAACAATAACAAGACAAAAAGTCGTGGGAAAAATCAAAGAAGGCTTTACACCATTTGGGGTTACAGAGGGGGGGGGGAGCATTTACAGAGGATGTCAGTATGCCTTCGGAGAAGATAATGTTCAAATTGCACTGTCGTCGTTTCGTGTTGCAAAGGACCAGGCCTGCGTCTCGCTTCCAGTACACGAGAAGCCTTCTTCCCACAAAGGCAGGCAAAGTGCGATAAGCTCTTCTCGTCTTATATTTTTTTGCCCACGTCAGCGATGTGACCGGCGATCAAATAACGGCTATGATTGCCAGACTGGAAGAGCGTATTATTATTAAGCTTCTCCCATTGTGCGCTGCTCGTGCAGGTTTTGGGGGAAATGCTCCTGAGAAAGAAAGACACTGTTTGAACTTGTTCATACAGGTGAATGCTTTTGTAGGAGTGCAAGCCGCCGCTCCAGTTTCGCCTTTTCCTTTAGGGCCACCTCCAGCCTCCTGTTGAGTTCGATCTCGGAAGATTTCCACAGCACAAGAAGCTCCTCTTTCGTCACCGAGTCCAGGCAGAACGGGTTGGGCGAGGCTTCAGCTTGAGCCGAGTCCACCGCCGAGCACAGGTGATCCTGGTAGGAGCGGGTTTTGTGAAGCATAGAGCGGGCCAAACTTATGTTGCTAGTTTTGGGGAGTAAGGCCTTATTGCTATAGATGTCACAGGCTAGGGCCTCTGCTAGATTGTGCTTGTCGTCGCGAAAAGTCTTGAGCAGCTTCGAGTGATCGGAAAAGACGCTTGGCGTGTGTTTGACAGGTAAAAACGCACTGTCATCGTCGTCTTCGTCGTTGTCGTCGTCTTCATCATCCTCATCATCATCATCATCATCATCATCATCGTCATCGTTGCTGTCACATATATCTTTCCTTCGATTCACCTCGTCGTTCTCGTCATCGCTGCCCTCGTAGTCGAAGCCCTCCGAGTGGAGAATGTTGGAAGTAACCTGAACCAGATTGCCATTGGGAATTGAATCCGAGAATCGGACGCGATTCAAGGTCGAGTTTGCAACCGTGAGAGGTATTTGGTGATTAGGTCTATGGTAGGAGTGGGAACGCTGAGGGATTTCGTTGACGAACGTGGCAGAGGGGAGAGAACTGCCCGAGTGGAGCCGTTGATGGGAGGAGGACGCGTTGTTGGGCGGGGAGTCAGCGGCGCGCATGGGCGAGGAGGCCGTGTGGTCAATGGAGAAACTGCGATGTCTGCTGGGGCCGGTGGGCGATGTGTGGAGGGACGGGCAGGGGCTGCTTGCTGAGACCTCCAGCTCCGGTGAGGAGGACGCGGCGTTCTGTCTCGTGTAGCGCTGGCGTCGGCGGTGGCGAGGCTGCTTGCTAGAACGTCTCGTCGACGGGGAGGGCATTGATGATGACAACGACGATGAGGCCACCGCCTCCGCGGGACGTGACGAGGACCCCCCGATGGAAGTCATAGATTTAGCGCTCTCCACCGCCACCAACCCTGCAGCGGTCGCCGGAGAGAGAGAGGAGTAGGACGGCGGCGCGAACACGAACGTTCTGGGAGGCTGCAAGCTGTGGAGACTCCGATCTGAAGCCGCGCGGCTGCCACCAAGAAGACTGTCTACGGACTCCGCTGACGAAGATTCGTCGCTGCTGCCTCCACCTCCACCTCCACCTACACCTCCATTAAATCCTCCACAACCCCTACCACCACCACCACCACCAAAACCACCACCATCACCACCACCACCAACACTGAAGGTCCTGCCTCGCGTCTCGTCCTCTAAGGCAACCCTCAAACCCTTTGACGTACTCCCCGCGCTGGCCCGGCGCTCAGTAGTTGTCGTGTCGTCTGTCGGGTTGTCCAACCTAAGACTGGAGGCGCCCAGCTCCACATTCACGGTCAGCTGTTTGGGTAAATGGAAGCCGCAAGAAAACCCAGCCCGCCTCTCTGTCTATGTCATTGTGAAGGCTGTATACATTGGGACATCTGGTGGGTTCCGGGGGAAAACAAAAAAAATGGGGGGTTTTTTTTTAGGCGGGGGGGTTGGGGGGGTTTTTTGTTTGTTGTTTGGTTTGGGGGGGGGGGGGGGTTGTATTAGCTAATGTCAAATACGTACAACCTGTAAGGTCACAAGAAGAAAGCAAAAAAAAAAAAAAATTTGGGGTATAAACTAACGTCTAAATATGCACAACCTGCAAGTTCACATGAAGGAAAAAAAAAAGAAAGTTTTTATTTTGGTAAACGCTAATGTCAAATAGACACAACCCACAAAGCAAACTCCGTTTTGTTCTGTTCAAATCAGTAATTAAATCTGATAGTTTTAAATTGTATTTATTTTACTGTTTTGAATTTTTTTAAAGTGGTTAAACCCATACCATAAAGGTGCAAGAGCGGTGCTTAACTCAGGAAAAACCAACGTTGTAGTGAGGCAGTTGTCGAACCTGATCTGCCACAGGAAAGTAAAATGTTACAGCAAGATGTTATAACCGTGGCCGTGTACAAATGGTCGCTTTTAAGCACAAGGGGGCTATCCCGAAAAATGCTGATTTGAGAAAATCGAAGGTTAAGTTTTTGCCCCTTGTTCAGTTTCTTTAAAAGACAGGAGAGTTTTCTCCATAACCAAACAAATATACAGGGGGCTATCCCGAAAAATGCCGTTTTGAGAAAATCGAAGGTAAATTTTGTGCCTCTTGTTCAGTTTCTTTAAAAGAAAAGGAAAGTTTTCTCCATAACCAAATAAATATACACACCAATGAAACCAAACTTCTTCTATTGGTAGGGCAATGCCCACTTTTGGTGAAGCTCAAGATTTCTGGAAACCCCGAAATCTGGATTAGCCTGCTTGTCCTTAAAAGAGGTCAAACATCCTTCTTGGCGTGGGTCAAATATGTCCTACCAGCCCACCTTCCAGACAGGGGACCAAGTTCACAGTCTTTGACATGTCGTATAGTGTGCTTAGTAGCGAGTTCAACGCCAACAACAACAACAGCAACCACAATGACAACAGCAACCACAACAACAACAACGCCAACAACAACAACAGCAACCACAATGACAACAGCAACCACAATGACAACAGCAACCACAATGACAACAGCAACCACAACAACAACAACGACGACAACAACAACAGCAGCAATAACAACAAAGTAAAAATATCAACAGTAGCAGCTTCAGCAAAAACAAGATCATGGAAAACAGCATTTCATCAGAAACAACTACAACAACAGCAATAATCACCACCCCAAAACTAATAAAAACAAGAACAGTAACAACTGCACCATTACCACCAATAACAACAACAACAACAACGAAAACAACTACAACAACAACAACAACAACAAAGACAACCACGAGAACAACACAGTTAAAGGAAAAAAACACAACGACAACAAGAGGAGCAACAACAAGAACAACAAAAAGAACAACAATAACAACAACAACAACAACAACAACAACAACAACAACAACAACAACAACAATGGCAACAACAACAATGACAACAACATTAACAAAAGCTACAGCAATATAAGAGAAAACAACAACAATAATATGAAACAACAAGACAAGAGCTTACCACTTCGCCTTCTCTACGATATCGTAAAAGTTTCTGTTTATCCGCTTCGTCTTCGCTATATCCGCCAGTCGATTTCTCTGAGGAAAGAGAAGAATGGAGCGTGTATTAAAAGGACAAAGGGAAATGGAAGTTGCCGAGCGTGCTAGAAAAGAATTCATGACCTCGGTGAGAGCAAAAAAACGAAAGAGAGAGAGAGAAAGAGAGAGAGAGAGAGAGAGAGAGAGAGAGAGAGAGAGAGAGAGAGAGAGAGAGATGGACTTCGGAATGACAAGACAATTTTCGCATCTCAAGTCTAGACGCTTGAGACAACAAAGGTGATTGCTATGAGTAACTAAATAGAGGACAAATTCACTTCGCTTTCGATAATTAGTCATCGGTTCCTTTTTCATTCTCTTTTTCTCTTGTTCATTCATTTTTCTCGATTTATAGAATCTTTCTTCCTGCTGCCTTCTTATTACGTGCACAACTGGTCGCTTTTAAGCACAAGGGGGCTATCCTGAAAAAAGCTGTTTTAAGAAAATCATAAGTTAAGTTTTTGACCTTGTTCAGTTTCTTTAAAAGACAATGAGAGTTTTCTCTATAACCAAACAAATATACACACCAGTGAGACCAAACTTCTCCTATAGGTAGGACAAAGCCCACTCTTGGTGTAGGTCTATATTTCTGGAAATCCCCGAAATTTGGGTTAGCCCGCTTGTCCTTAAAAGCGACCATTTTATTCTTCTATTTTTCCATCTTCCACGTTCTGAATTACACCACCGCAGACATAACTGCCTTTGTATTTATACATTTTTCAGATTCATTAATCTTTCCATTGCAAGTTTAAACTCCTCAAATTTTCCGGTTCAGTTTTGGATTATCTGTTGTTTATTTCGCATGCATGCCAGTTAAGCATACTGAAAAAAATTATTTTTAAAAAACACAAAAAAAAACAATTTATGATTCAGAGCAAACTATGACTGCTCTTAGGCAGCTTATTAATCTAAATTTCTTTATCTGCATTCATGAAGATATGTATGTATAAATATCTCAACCAACAGTGAGAAGACATGGCACAACATCAAGAGGCTAGCCCAGGATAGAGAAAGGTGGAACGTGTTTGTCCGTGGCCTATACCCTGGTGCAGGGAGAGAAAGTGTTTGTACGTGGCCTTTACCTTGGCGCAGGGTGAGAAAGGCAATTATTATGATGATCGCACCAAATAAAAAAGGGAATCTCAACATATTATATTTTTGAAAGTCCGTCACTTTGAAGGCCTAAAATTTTCCAACCACTTAACTTTCTAATTAACAGTGATTCAGAATCATGTAAAGTGTGCACAGTTTTATTGAGGAGCCTGAATTCACTGTACTTAAATTTTCAGTTTTTCATTAGTTTCGTTTCGATCTTATCTTGGGAAAGTCCGTCTTCTGAGACGCCATTGTAAACAAGTAATATTCCCGTTCACTAATCGTGCGCACCTTTAAAATTCTGGAGTGTACAACCACGAAAGCGGAAGAGAGAATGAATCTATACATCTCTATATCTAGACTTTTTAACATTTTGCATCTCTCAAGATTGATTGCCCCATTGCAGTAGATGTAAATATAGTAGGCCAATGACTTTCAGTTAATGTTAATGCACCGATCATTCCTTTCATCGAAAGGGGGTCCAGCTAGTTTAAAATAAAACAAGACAATCCGTGCTGGGACCTACCCTGATAGTGCTCTTCTGGAAGAGTCTGGTGAACTCTCTCTTCTTCACAATGCCAAGCATCTCCATGGCTGAGGCGTGTGGCGACACCAGCTCAGCGCTGTTGATGATTCGCTGAAGTCTCTGGAAGACACACACAAACATTGCACATAATATGTGAGGTGTTCTGACAAAATGAACAACTTTTAGTTAGTTTAGTTTTAGTAGAGGTTTTGAATAACCAACTGAATAATGTTATATGAGCGCCTGAATATTAAAGCTGTTACAAGAGAGTAACAAACATAAAAAGATGAAGGGGAGATAAGGACGATGTTTCATAGAAAAGAAGAAGCAAACCATACCAGAGCACCCGCCAACCACCCACAAAAACTTTCCGGATTTTACCTCGATGGGCAAAGTTACATCAAACTTATAGGCTGAATTTGTACAATTTATAGAAGAGGCTTCAGTGGCCTAGTGGTTAGGCTACCGGACCTCTGATCGTGAGATTGAGGGTTCGGGGGTTCGAGCCATAGCTCCATCCGACTTTGTGTCCTTGGGAAAGGCACTTCCCACGAATTTCTCACTTGGCTCGGTCCTTTCGGAGATGGACGTTAAACTCGGATGTCCCGCCTCTTAAATAACCTACTAGTATAGATAGGGGCGTTAAACATATACCACTTCATCATGTCCACAATCTATAGGTATGAAATAACAATGACATGTTAAACTTTTTTTGAAATGACATCAGTTAAAAAATTGCAAATTTGTGACCCCTGTGTTGATTTTGGCCGATATCCACATTCTCGACTGCTAAAAAGTAAGCCATTTTGCCAGAACCACTTTTTAGTTTTAGTAAGAGTTTTACGGCACTTGCAACACAATAAGGTCATATAAGTGCCGAAGATTTGGGGTGTTACAAGAGAGTAACCAACACATAAAAGAAAGAGGGGAGATACAGACGATAGATGTTTGATAAGAAAGAAAGAGCAAACCACACCAGAGCATCCGCCAACCACCCACTCAGCACCTCTGACATATATCAAGGGTTTGTTTTCGGCAGACAACACCATGCATTTTGTTTAACAGATAAAATACATTCTTTGACGAAAAACACAATATTATTATCATAAACCTTGTTTATACATTGAAAATTTAAAGTGCATATCCACTGCGTTTACAACAAATGAAAAACCAACACGTCGCCTTTTATACCCCTCCACAAAACATCGCAAATACAAACACACTGACATACACACGCACCAAAACACACAGATAGACACACATCTATTATCTATCTATCAATATCTCGCTATTTCCTATAATCCATGTATATATATATAT